CTTCCAGTTCTTGCGCTTGAGGAGGCCGCCGCCAGAGCCCTTCTTGAAGAGCACGCCGGCCTTCACCACGGGCTCGCCGTGCTTGTTGACGCGGCCAGTCGCTGCTGCCATGGTCCGTGCAAATCCAAATATGGCATGGCCTCAAGATGCCATTGGACACCAAAGGCGAGTTTTAACCAATGAAAACGCGTCGAACGACATTACACGGGCGGGGAAAAAAACTTGGCCGGCCTGCGACGCGGGGCTATTTGCACGCAATTTTAGCTGGTCAAGCCAAGGCCGCGCGCTGCACGACTTGAGGCGCCACCAAGGTAGACAATCTTCTCACTAGAGTGTTGTGGTAGAGTAGATAGAACAGTATGGTGTGTTGTGCAAGCAGAGATCGTCGTTGCGGCAATGAAGTGTTCGTGCGAGGCTGCAGCCATGTCTACCAGATCCACCACCTTGAAGGCGGCGGGAGCCAGACCGACGAACGATGTCGCGCCCGATTGCGTTATACTCGATCTTTGCGTTACCCCGACAAAGCCCACGCTGCCATCGACGTATCGAGTCTTCTGTAGGTCGGTACAGGCCTTGCCAGCATGCACGATCGTGCCATTTAGCGGCGCAAGTTGCGTGTTTTTCAACTGTCAAGGACACGGTGCGACAGAAAGGACATCCGGGGCAAAGATCCGAGCAGACGCATGTCCCGTTGCCACGGCCCCGCCACGCGCCCTGGCAGCCAACTCGCTATGCATTCGCATCCGTTATCGCTCGGTATGGCAAGCGACGCATCCCGGCAAGCTAGTGCCAGTGAGGTAAGGTGGGTTTCGCCGGCTGACAACGCGACCACGGTCGTCCCGCCATGTATATAAACAAGCCTTTCAACGCGTATCACGGCCGTGAGCCCTAGCCCTGGCGTAGATTAGCATAACCACGTGCTGCAATTGTGAGACCATTCTGACCGAATTTCGACAAGTGATGCATCGATCACGACAGCTGTGATCCGCAATGTGCCAAGAGAAAATGTGAAAATCTCAATTCAGACAAGTCGAATTGTCACGCATGCATCGACGAGAGCGATAAATAGATAGTTAAATAGTTGATAATGCGCCGTTCATCGCAAGGCAACGATCGGGCGCGGGCAAAAGCAATTCGAATTCCGATGCTTGGTTGGGTTTGGTTTCGCATGCGACGCCAAGATCGTCAAGAGGGCCACCATCCACTCGGTCATTTCGCGGTGCGTGGCCGCCGCCACGACAAAGCGGCGAGTCGGCGTCTGGATCGCAATGCGCCAGCCCGTGGATGCCGACGACCCTGTCTTGGGGAGGTCGGTCGGCATGAGCTCGAGCGCACTCGAGTCGAGGTCGTCGAGGCAAACCTGTCCTTTGCACGCACCCCCTTGGTGCGTATAGTAGCGCAGCGCATGGTCCGAGAGCTCAAAGTACCGCGGCTTCCAGTTCTTGCGCTGAAAGAGGCCGCCCGCGCCGCGCTTGAAGAGCACCCCGGACTTGATCGGCATCATGCAAAATGGAAACTGATCCGACGTTGCGTTGATCGGTGTCGTGTGACAGGGGGTGACCACAACCACAATATCCAAGCCCAACTGCAACTGAAACTCAACGATGAACAGAGAGAATCAAAAAGTGCAACGTTGCCATTTGAGCAAGGCAACGCGATCACGGCGACTCAGCGGCGCTGAGTGGCCGTGATACTCCCACGTGACGGCCTCGTCGTGTTCGCCTGTCGACTAACCACGATTAGGTTGTTGAAACCGGTTGTGGGCGCGGGGGTACGAGTGATGGACGTGCGCGCATGTGCAGGGTCGTATTTTTTGCGTGATCACGGCCGGCGTGCAGGCTAGTATTGCTACAAGGCAGTGGCGCTGTCACACGCTCTTGCATCGAGAGGCAGTACGAGACCTATCTCGAGGACGCCAAATATGACCGACGACAAAGGCATAGATTAAGCTGAATTTCACGTGTGATGTCCGTGCCGGATTGTTGTGAACACATGGACCATTGACCCTTCTCGACTGCTCTTGGACTCTTTATTATGCATACTACACAGCTCCGAGACTAGGTAACCACACGTACATTTACATGATTGCCCTGCGCAACGGTATCGGTGCACCACCAAGCGAAGGCTCTTTGAGTGTTAAATACGTTCGATTGTGTTGACTTAGCATAAATAGACGGCATAGACATAGAGAGGTCGCCTCTAGTAGAGCGCTCCTGCGGTCGGAGCTGTTTTGGCGTGGGAGGCGCGTTCGTGCAGTGGGTGGATCTGGGACGAGAGGCCACTGGCACACGTCTGCATCTTGTGCATCTTGCACGTCGCAATGACAAACAAGAGCGCTTGAACCCACTCGTACATTTCGTCTTCGGTCGCGGCCGCGATGAAGAAGCGGCGGCCGTTGGTGTTGAGGCAGATGCGCCAGTTGGTCGAGGCCGACTTGCCCGTCTTGCGGCCGTCGCAGGGCATGATTTCAATGTCGTGTGCAGCCAAGGACGCGAGGTGCAGCGCGCCCTTGAGCTTCCCGCCCTGCTCGTCGTAGTAGCTGAGGTGGCTCGACGAGAGTTCAAAGTAGCGCGGCTTCCAGTTCTTGCGGCTGAAGAGACCGATGCCCGAGCCCTTCTTGAAGAGGACGCCCGTCTTGACCGTGGTCGTCACCATTTTTACTCGTGCTGGCAAATTGCAAACTGGATCATGGAGCGGGAGCGCGCGAAGCTCCGACTCTCGGCAATTTTTTGACGGCGCAAACACACGTGTGGCGTCCCGCCAGCAATTTGGATGGCCCACCCGGGGTCCCCATTGAAATATGGCATCGTTTGAATATCTGGCGTTTCTTTGGATGGTACCTATAAAAACGTGGAGGTACCTACAAAGAAGGGGAGGGCCCTAAAACGATGCAGAAGTTGAAGTGCTGTGCGCGTAACACGCGGTCGCGCCGCGTCACGGCACGGATTCCTGGCTTCCTCCGCCAGCATGCGTGCAGAAGCCGCAGTCGGGGCCTGTCCATGACGCACAGTCGGCGGCGTCGTATACAAGTTACGAGTCGTCTGCAAATGTTTGAGCTCACGTCGAATGGTGGGTGCTTTTTTGCAGCGAACCGGGTACTAGTACTGTGGCATCTTGTCCACCAAGGTACTAATAAGTCAGTTAGCTCCGATCGCCGCCCCACTTGCTGCTTTGAGTCTCCGTGTGCGGTATGTAGGTGGTCCCAACCCGCGCCCACCTCTCGCACGTGTACTAGTACCAGAATCTGGGCGTCTGGTTACGCGATGCCATGGCACGCTTGGGATATTTTGGGGTTTAGATTCCTCTCGAACGGCGCCGAGGCTTCTCGCATCTTGCGATCGTCAACGAAGGCGGCATGCCAAGCGATGGTGTCTTGTAGTAATCACTCCCGTCCGTGCCAGCGCACGGGCGTGGGATAATCGCACCGCGTACAATTGCATCTGAGGCGGTCCAGATTGC